CTAAGTACATAGCATCATCTATGAGGTTTTCTGGATAAAAAGGTTTTACTTGAATCACATCAAGACTATAGAATTAATTTCTATCTCGTGGGAAATACAGGGGAGACAGGAATTGGTTAGGTGTCACCTCAGTGGTGAATCAATCAGGCAAATCGAAAAAGTGGAACATTTACAGTACAGTCGGTTTTCTATCTCTGGATTCCACCAACTCTCCATCAGAAATACTAAAAATAAAAACAATACTGTAAATTAAAAAGCAATACAATAACTATTTATACAGCATTTACATTGTATTAAGTACTATAACCTAGAAATGATTTGAAGTACATATATGGGAGGATATGTGTAGGGTATATGCAAATACTACACCATTTGATATAAGGGACTTGAGCATCCTCGGATTTTGTTATCCTCAGGCATCCTAGAATCAATCACCCATAGATACTGAGGGACAGCTGTATCTTCAGTAAGTCAATGTCATAGAAAGCAAAAAGGAGTGGAGGTGCTATTTTTAGATCAAAGGAGATTTAAAAGACCTAATCACCAAATGTAATTTTGATCCTTTATTTGGTCAAGGAATAAAGCTGGTATAAGGAAATGAGCTGTAATGGATATTATGGGGGAACTACTGAAGAACTGAATACAGTGTAGGTGTTACATATTTATCAATTATTAATTTTGGATATGATATTGTGAAGAAAATGTCCTTATTTTTTAGAGACACAGTGAAATATTTAAGGATGAAATGTCATGATGTCTATAATTATAAACCACTTAAGCAAAAAATGACAGAGATAGATGCAGAGAAACACTTTGTCACTGACCAGAGGAAAAAAATGAGAACAAGCAGATTGTCCCCTACAAATATTTGTTAAATCCCTGCCACATGCCAGGTTTACTACCGTTGAGTATACAGTAGTAAATGAGATGAACACATGGGTCCCACCCTCTGGAAACTTAGAGGAAAAGGTTAGAACACATTTCTATTAATGATAACCATAATTAGCATTTATTATGTGCCAGTGTAAGAGTGCTTAAATGCGTGATCTTATTTAACCCTCCCAATGGCTTAATGGAACGGGTACTCTTATGCTTCGGTGATTAAAGCTCCAGGAAGAATGTTTCTGGTCCCAAGTCACAGAGCTGGTGAGTGGCCCAACCAGGTCTTAAATCTTAGATTTGTGTGGTCGTCCTGGCTGGGCTCTTCCCCGGGTGTGTTGACAGGAGGAACGTGTGACTCCATACTGTTTCAGCATGGATTAACATGGCTTCATTCTCTTTTCTCCTCTTTTCCCTTGTAATCACTGTAAAATGACGCCCAACTTGGCTGCCAGCCAAAAGAAAGTGCTGTTTATATAAAGGACATGAAAAGTAAAATAACGTAGTGTCACTCATCTTTAAACTCCTTGAAACTGCCTAGATTCTGCCTTAGTCTTTACTGCAGTCTACATTTTCATCTTTCTCTAGTTAAATCTGTTTTCTTCTCCATAAACAGATTTAGATAAATATAGTTAAGACTAATTATTCAATTATTTAATCCTGTGGATAGTCGTCTTTTAGTTGCTGGTATTAAACAAAATTGTTTCCTATATTGAAAAATATGCAGCTTGCAGCTACATTTTGTTCAAATGCTTCTAAGGGCTAGAACTGGACCTTGGCCTCCACTTGGCCATCACTGGTCATCAAATATTTATTGAGCGTCTACTATGTGCCATGTCTGTGATACATTTAGAACATGGTTGGTTTTTCTGGTACTTCGGGTTCCTCATGATGCTTTACAAACAAGATTTAGGATCTGGCTTATTTGCAAACTCGGAAAGGCCTGAATACTGACCATATATTCCCTTAGGGCTGGCATTTGGTATCCACAGGGAAGTGAGGTTTTATGAGCCTGTCACCACTTCTGATGCACAGCCCAGGGCAGATAGCTTTATGGCATTGTGGTAACTAGTTCCTGTCTTATTGGAGGAGCAGTGGTGGGCCCCAGGCAGCTCTATTTGCCTGCAGAAAGCTCAGCTGTTCCCTGGGTGCCTACAGCAGTGTTACAATGAGAGGAGTATGAAACGAGACCCTGGGCAGACTCTCCGCCAAGGGTGTTGGCAGTTCAGTTGGAGACAGCTGTGTAATGTCCCTGTTGCACTGGCCTGGGCTTCTATCTAAAGCCATCTTATTTGTAGTGTTTATTTTCTTCCACTTTTGCCCTTAGGTGCCCTATTGATGTTAGTGGATTTCCATATCAGAGAGGGACTTGAGGAGCTCAAAGAGGTTAATCAACTTGTTCCTTGTTACTAGGGAAGTGTGGGGTAGAACGAGAAAGGCATAGCTTAGCACTCCTGCCGCCCATTAAGATCTGTCTTAGTTACAGCCAGAGAACTTACAAGTTCCCATGTGTCATTAAAGGAAATACACTGTGGGACCTAAACAGGCTTTGGCATGTGTGAAATTTCACACCTCACAGATAGCGCTTCTGTCTGTGTCCAGGCTGCTTTCTTGCATGTTAGGTTTTTTTGAAAGTGTGAGTTATTCTATACCACGAACTTCACCATAAATTATTTAATTTTTTTTCCAGAAAAACATTTCCCCCATTTTGTTAATCATCTAGTCACAGAAGCAATTCCTGAGTTTTTTTCAAAAAATATATTTTCTCCTTGGTTACAAAAGTATTACATGTTTATTGTTAAAAAAAAAAAAAAAACAGAAAAGCATAGGGAAAAAAGTTTAAACGTCCTATAATTCTATCACTCTGACATAACTACTGTTAACATTTTGTGGAATGTGTTTTTAGTCTTTTCTCAGTACATATATAATTTTTAAACAAAATTGGGATCATACTACTTCCTATAATTGGTGCAGTTTGTATTCTGTTTTATTTACAAAGAACATCAATGTGTAAGCACGCTCTTGAAAAGGGTTTTCAAAAATGTTATTTTTTTAATGGCTTCATAATGTTTCAGCAAGTGAATTAACCGTAATCTATTTAACCAAGCTCTATTTGAACATTTAGTCGTTTCCAGCATTTCGCTTTGTTGAGCATCCTTGATATGAATTTTTGCCCTACCCAGGATTATTTTCTTAGAATAAATTTCTAGTGGTGGAATTCCTGAATGAAAGGGAGTGAACTCTTAACAGTTCTTTATCTTCCAGAAGGCTTGGCCAAGTCTCCCGTCTGTCAGAAATGTCTGAACGTTCATTTGGTGGCATTGGGCCATTTTACAAATATTTTTAAAAGCTCTCCCGATTTGATAGGCAAAAAATGGTATCTTAGTCTTATTTTAAGATTATTTAATCATTGATAAATTTGATTATGGTATGCCTTATTATACCATAAGTTTTGGATGGGAAAAACAATCCTTGCAAATTTGGTTCTGTTTTATGGTTAAGATTTCTTCTAAAGTTTGACTATTCAGAAGTTCCCTGTTATGAAAATAAGAAACTTGTTCAGTAGCTATTGCTTACAAAGCATTAATTGTGGAGGGTTTTTGGTTGTTGCTAGTTATCATAGATATGGTTAATTTTTATTCAGCAACAGTTTTCATAGGTAGGGAAAATGCCCACAATATTTTTGCCAAGACTATTATGGTTTGGTTTTGAAAAAACTCCCCTCGAAGTCTCCATGGCCTATTTCATTTCCTGTGTCTCAAACACAGCTTTCACTAACATTCTGTATACAGTCTTCTGCTCCTATTTTTGGAATTACATTTAAATCAACAATCCAGATCTACCTGCTACTTTGCGCTCCACCAAAACAGAGCAAGACCTGGGTCTTGACTTACAGAAGCTTACAACTGAGTCAGATGGCTACGTGTATAAGCAGATGAAGATGCCTGTAGTGCTAAACATTGTCATAGGGTGTAAAATGCTGGAAGGCCACTGAAGGGTGGGAGTTATACCAAACATGAGGATTTGGGGTGGCTTCTTGTGTTGAGTTTTGGAAGAGAAGACAGATTTTCCCAGAATGAATTAAAAAAAGTTTCTAGTGCCACACGCCCTTATAGAAACTTTCCACTCACCCATCTAAAGTAGAGTCTATATCCTCACCCCTTGAACCTGAGGGAGCTTTTATGATTGCCTCTCTGAACAGTAGAATGTGGCAGAAGTAATGCTGCCTGACTTCTGAGGCTAGGTCATAAAAGGAGATATAGCTTCCTCCTTGCTGTAGCTCACTTGTGACATGTGTTTGGAGCCTCCATGTGAGAAGTCTGGCTACCCTGACCTCCTGAGCCACCATGCTGCAGAAACAGGACAGAGGAAGAGAGATTGAGATTATTTCAGCCGTAAGAACTTGACTGGTGATAGTTACTTGAGACATTCTGAGCAAGAACCACCCTACTAAGCCCAGTCAACCCTCAAAGCCATGAAAGTTTACAATAAAATAATTGTTGTTTGAAGTCACTAAGTTTTGGGATTGTCATGCAACAATGCATACCTGGAGCAGCAGGTGTGAGAAGAAAGGGCATTCCAGGCAGAGGGGATAACCTGAGAATGTTTTCTTTGCAGCTTTCATTCTGTTTTATGTTTAAGTGTTCTCTCTACGTAGATAATGTCTGTAGCTATAACTGTGATCCTCCCCTCTCTCAAACTGATGCCCAGTATTCCTCTTTGCTTCCTAGAGTGCTATATCTGGAGATCCTACTCAAACTCAATAGATCACAAAATGAGCTCAAAAAGATCCCCTAGGCTGGGCATGCTGGCTCAAGCCTGCAATCTCAGCATTTTAGGAGGCCTGGGTGGGTGGATCACCTGAGATCAGGAGTTTGAGACCAGCCTGGCCAACATGGTGAAACCCAGTCTGTACTAAAAGTACAAAACATTATCCGGGCATGGTGGTGCCCACCTGTAATCCCAGCTACTTGGGAGGTTGAGGCAGGAGAACTGCTTGAATCTGGGAGGCGAAGTTTGCAGTGAGCCAAGATTGTGCCATTGCCATCCAGGCTGGGCAACAAGAGTGAAACTCCATCTCAAAAAACAAAACAAAAAAAACCCCTAGAAACACATATTACTTGTGTTCAGTGTTTTGTTAATGTCACCACCACAGTCCTGATTATCCAAGCTGTTAATCTTAGTGTTTTCACAGATTCTTCCCTCTCCACAAATTTCACATCCAATTCCTCTTACCTCTAGCAGTTCTCCTTCCACAATATTTTGCACCTGTTTTACCATCAGTGTCCCCATGTTGTCGTACCCTACTTCTATTCAAGTTTAGATCCCTCACTTGACCTAGATGAGTAACCTGAAACTGGTCTTCAGCTTCCTCCATCCTCCCATAGTTTTACCGTAGAGCAACTCTGATCATGTCATCTTTTGCTCAAAAACCTCCAAGAGCCAACTCTCCTCACCAATTTCTTACCAAAACTATGCATAAAGTAAGATGAGAAAAACACACAAGGAGGCCATATGACTTCCAATCTGAGCAGATGATGAAATTATACTCAGGTGGAGAACCGGGAAAGTAGATTAAAAAGTAGAAGGCTTTGTGTATTTTCTGTGAGTCTCCACTACCCCAGTGTTGTGTCAATAAGTGTCCTACAGTCCTGGGATTCATTCCCTGCCTAGTCACCCAGCTGTATAGCCCAAATCAGAGTAGAACTGGAGAAGCGGTGGGGAGAGCAGGGAACCAGCCTTGAATGGTGGCTGAAAGCCAGGGACTGGGAAATGGTTAGCTATGTGTACCCATGGGCCTGGCCCAGTCCTTGGAATAAGATCAGTGCCAAGGAAGTAGCCTAGGGTGGAGCAGGGAGATGGAGGGGGCAGGGAGTCAATGAAATTTCATGAAGCAATGAGATTGAGTAAGAGTTATTGCCTAGTGGGTCAAGCTTAGTAGGGAATTTTAAAAAGCTCTTCCCCTTCTTTTATAAAGTGAACTATACAAAGCACCTAATTCCATTCTTATTCCTTCTTGGATGAAAGGACTAAGTGATCGGCATCAGTGGAGCAGACAGAGGTCGAGACAAGAGGAAGGGCAGCAAAGTACCAGGAGGAGATCTGACTGGCAGGCTGGCTGAGCATTCCAACCTCTGAGATCAACCATTAGTCCTAAAGTTCTGGTATCTTCAACAATGTGATAAAATAAAAGAGATCTGCCTGCCTAGGTTGAATAGGTCCTAGAGAGTTCCAATATGAAAGCTCAGTATGACTGGATCAAATAGTGTGAGACAGGGAGAGCTTGCAAAAGACCCTCTGTCAGACCATGACAAAGGCTGTCCTAAAAAGTGCCAGGCCTGGGGAGCTCGAGGTTGGCAAGGCCTACCCAGATGCTATGAAGGCTTCCCAAAGGCCTTTGGCTATGATGACTACCGGCTCCCTCCGGGGGCTCTTGTGCCTGCATTGCCAGCCAGGTTCAGCTGTAGGAGAAACATGCTGTGGGAGCTGAGGCCACAGTGGAACAAGCAGCCATGGTGTTCATGTACAAATGCCAGCCTGTGCCAGGAACCCAGCCTGGGACTGGGTGGGGTAGGATAGCTATTTCAATCACTTAGCGTCCTCCAGCAGCCACTAGCTAAGTCCCTACTGTGTGACATCCTACACTAGGCTAGGGAAAAATTGGAGAAAAAGCAGTCCCTGTCTTCGAGGAATTCACAATTTATTAGGGGAGACAGTGTTGGGAACAGGCCCCCAAATCTGGCCATAAACTGGCCTCAAAACTGGCCATCAACAAAATATCTACAGCACTGTGACACGTTCGTGATGGCCATGATGCCCACGCTGAAGGTTGTGGGTTTACCGGAATGAGGGCAAGGAACACCTGGTTCACCCAGGTTGGAAAAGCACTTAAAGGCATTCTTAAACTATAAACAATAGCATGAATGATCTGTGCCTTAAGGACATGTTCCTGCTGCAGATAACCAGCCAGACCCATCCCTTTATTTCCTGTAAGGAATACTTTTAGTTAATCTATAATCTATAGAAACAAGGCTTATCACTGGCTTGCTGTCCATAAATATGTGGGTAAATCTCTGTTCGAGGCTCTCAGCTCTGAAGATTGTGAGAACCCTGATTTCCCACTCTACACTCTATATTTCTGCGTGTGTGTCTTAATTCCTCTAGCGCTGCTGGGTTAGGGTCTCCACAACTGAGCTGGTCTCGGCAAGACAGACCAACAGAAGGTGATTTCAGTGCACTATGGGGCAGGCAGGAAAGCACCAGGTAGGACATCAAACTCTGGCCCGGGCATCAGTGAAAACTTCCTGGAGAGAATCTTGATAATTCATTGAACATAGGAAACTGTCTGCATTCCCCAAATCCAAGCCAGAAAGATCTCTGTACAGAAATTTGGTGCAAAAGAGTCTGCCTGGTCTTTTGAATCTCAGGAGTTTAGGATATCTTTGGCATTTCAGGGAGCAGCTCACCCCAGCATTGCAGACCGGAAGGTCTCAGAGCAGCTACACCATTGCATGTCTCTGGTTAAATGGCCTTCTCTGGGTGATATATTCCTCCACTGGTGGCCATGATCAGCTATATCTCACAGTCGCTGGACATCTGATTATCAAGGTGCCTGGCTCACAAGCACGTGGGTCAATAGTACTCTCATTATCCAACCCCAGAAACCTAGGGGCAGCCACTGGGTTGAGATCAGAAGCAGACAGAGGCAGACACTAGTGAAACCCCCCACTGTCCGCTCTGCACACACCAGCACAGCCTCTTTCTAACTCCTTCCCAGCTCCCCTCCCTGCCCAAAGGAAGAACAGGTGCTAATCTCACAGGTCAGAGTCCAGAATATTCACTGGGCCACATTTTATTGGTAAACCGCCAGGTCACTGTACATTAAAGGCAACACCTTTTCTCCTCTATCCTGCTTTGGTCCTAGGAAGGTCTCGGTCTTTGGGGCCTCCTGTGCTTTTGCTTCCTTCCTGTATGTGGTGAGCAGACCCAGGTTGTGCTGCCACCTCAGCGTGGGTCTGGCCGTGCCTCTCTGTTCCTGGATATGTAGTCAATAAGTAAGTTCAGTTGGGGCCTGCTCTCTCCTTAGCATGTGTACTTGTGTGTGCTGCCACCAGATTTAGATTCAAGAGGAGGGGAAGTAGGGAAGCAGCCACCTGATACAGTCATTCTTTCTCCAGCTTTTGCATTGACGTGTCAGCTACCAATAAGGCTAGCAAAAAAAAAATGTAATTCACATCCTGTTATTCCTCCTTATATGAGAGGCCAAGGGGCACTGAATGATTGGCAGGACAATATTTTAGCCTTCCTGGGTCCCTAGCGGTAATGCCATTTTACTATTTATAATTCTGCTGAAACCCTAACCCAAGCCTCTAACCGTCTCCTGCAAAGGGAAAGCAGAGCCTTCTGCTTATGGGCATGTTGGACTGAAGCCCAAAATCCTTGGGATCCTCCGAGGCATATTGGCTGAGCTTCAGGAAACAGCAGTGAGCAGACAGGCCACTCAGGGCTTGGGGTGAAAGTACCAGCCTTGTACCAGCTCTCCAGAGGGAGACGGCTGTGCCAGGTGCTCAGCCTCGCCTTGATAGTGATGCATTGTGGCATGAGTCTGGTGAAGTATTCAGCTGGGAGGTCTGGCCAACTGGTTCCCAGGGATAGATGTGTTGTGGGAGGGGGATGGAGGAGAGGAAATCATGTGGGCCTTCCTTGGAATTATCTCTAAGGGACTCATACTCCTGGATGAATCTTGGCCAAAAGGGCCATGGTAACTGAATAATGGCCCCCGAAGATGTCCTTGCCTCATCCCTGGAACCTGTGAATATATTAAATTTGCATGGCAAGAGGGACTTTACAGATGCAATTAAGGTTATAGATCTTAAGATGGGCCAGGCACAATGGCTCATGTCTGTAATCCCAGCACTTTGGGAGGCCAAGGCCGGCGGATTACTTGAGGCCAGGAGTTCAAGACCAGGCTGGCCAATATGGTGAAATCCCACCTCTACTAAAAATATAAAACTTAGTGGGGTGTGGTTGTGGGTGTCTGTAATCCCAGCTACTCAGGAGGCTGAGGCATGAGAATTGCTTGAACCCGGGAGGTGGAGGTTGCAGTGAGCTGAGATCCTGCCACTGTACCCCAGCCTGGGTGACAGAGTGAGAC